CTCGATGGAAATGAGTTTGAGTAAACTCCGGGAGTTGGTGATGGACAGGGAGGCCTGGCGTGCTGCGGTTCATGGGATCGCAAAGAGTTGGACAAGACTGAGCGACTAATCTGAACTGGACTGAAAGAAGAATTATGGAAAGGACAAGATGGAAAAAGTCTAAGCTGAATTGATCCTAAATAAGTTTCAATTTCACAGTTAAAATATTGCTATAAAAAATAAGAATCTGATGATGTCTACTCCAGCAAGCATTACTCCATCTGAAAAGGGTTAGGATTTATATGAGACAGAGAATTGCCATAAATACTAAGGATATGATGAAGCTGAATGCTGTGCACATGCTCTGATTTCATGAAAGTATGCACAGAAATGCAAACACAGTGCAATGGTTTATAAAAGAAGCAGAGAATAATCAACATTCATATAATCTTAGGTGGTAAAGGTCTTTTATATGCTATAAAGCCAAGACATGATTTATTGAGCCAACCACAATGGAAAAAACACTTTAAGATCTTTTCCAAACCAAAAAATGTGGAAATATTTACAACTTATATAGGAAATTAATATCTCTAACATAGAAAAAGCTCATAATGGCCTAATATAAATATTATCAAATAACAGGGCAAATCACAAAGAAAAAATAAAAGAAGAAACCTGACCAAAAAACATGAGAAATACTCATTGGTTTTTAAAAAATTCACACTGATGTGCAAATTTTAAAAAACTAAATATCATTATAAATAAATATGTGGAGAAGGAAATGGCACCCCACTCCAGTATTCTTGCCTGGGAAATTCCATGGATAGAGGAGCCTGGTGGGCTGCAGTCCATGGGGTCTTAAACAGTTGGACATGACTGAGTGACTAAACAGTAACAAATAAATATGTATATACTATAAATATATACATGCCAGTTTGCATGTTCAGTTGCTTCAGTCATGTCTGACTCTGCGATCCTATGGACTGTAGCCCTCCAGGCTCCTCTGTCCAAGGGGGTGCTCCACCTAAGAACTGGAATGTCTTGCCATTTCCTCCTCCAAGGATCTTTCTGATCCAGGGAACAAACCTGTATGTCTCCTGCATCAGCAGGTGAGTTCTTTACCACCTGTGCCACCTGGGAAGAGCATATACACATATATATCAGTTTGTCCCATCTTTAAATTGGCAAGTGTAAAGACAGATATAACACCTATCACCAACCAGAATATATATTGGTAAAAGGTTTCCAGAAAACACTTTGGACACAAGTTAGACTTAGTTTTGTAGATATGCAATTGTTTCCATTATTACGTGGTAAAACTTACTTATTACAAGAATCACCTAAAAAAAAAGTTCAAAATTCACAAAGTACCTAGGAAGTACCACTCTCAGTGTGAAAGAGCTAGCACAAAGGTATGTTATAGAATAATTCTTACATACAGCTAACAATTATAAGTTGCACATACAGTTCCTAAAACCACAGTCATTTCTTTAAAAATCATTTAAAGGAAATACACTCAATATTCTAAAATAATCTATAAGGGAACAGAATTTGAAAAAGCACGGATATATGAATATGTATAACTAAGTCACTTTGCTGTATACCTGAAACTAACACATTGTAAATCAACTATATTCAAATTTTAAAAAGAAAAACACAAAATCATCTAACTAGCATTTCCTAATGTGTTCAGCAGAATTGCCAAACTGTATGAGATTTACCAACATAATATGTTTTAGAATTGTTTATTTGTAATCTGAAAACAAAATTGAAATAAAATATCAAGCAATCACAACAAAGAAGGAAGATGTACCTAATAAATCTATTAAAAAGAAAGACTGTGCTCCGGATGACACGTGCTGTCCGTGATTCTTCATGCTGAGATCTGGATAAATTTAGGCCATCATCCATGTGTCCTTCATGATGCATAATAGCCTGCATGAAAGGAAAAATAACTCTATTACTCCAAACATCCTTTTTTCAAATGGGTGTTAGGAAGATGTGCACTCAAAATGATGAACCATGACAATAAACAGAGCCTAAAGACAGGTGAAAAAGGCTATACACAGTCATGCTCAGGTAAAGTAATATGTACAAATCCATCATTCAATATATTTATTCAGCTGTCGCTTTAAAGATGAACCTGTTGTTGTTTAAAGCACAAATCAATAAATGTATTGATTTGAAAAACAAATATTAAGAGTGCTTTCACATATCTATATTCAATAATTCATCCACAGTTTAAGCAAACTCTGAACAAAAGAAGCAAAGGAAAACATTACATGGGATACCAGTTATACAGTGATTCTGAACACAACAGGGTTAATTTATAAGCACTGAGCAATGCTCTTAAGGTATCTCAGTCCTTTTAAAAAATGTATTTTATTGTATTATTTCTTTTGTTAGGCTTTATATTTCTGAATATACAACATAAAGAGATAATTGAACAGTTGAATGAAGTTTACAAAGTGAAACAACTGTGTAACACCCAATCAAGAAAGAGAAGGTTAAGGCACCTTGAAACCTCCCCTAGTGCTCACTTCCTGTCCCTGTTCTCCAAGGTATTTCCCATCTTCTGGACCTTGAACAGCAAAGATCACTTGCGTACTGACATGTAAATGGAACCATTTGCGTCTAACTCCCTTCACTCAACACCAACAGCAAGATGTCTTCAGAACATTTAACCAGATAAACTGAACTAAAATTAGCAACTAGAACTAATATCACAAACTATTTAAAAAGCAATGTAAAGATAATTTTCCCTATACCAAAATCAATGAGATAGAGACACAAAGTCTTTTTTTCTATTTAAAGTTTTTTTTTTTTTTTCCTTTTGCCCCTCCACAGAACACCTGGGATCTTAGACTAAACCAAACTGGGTTTAGTCTATGAATATAAGGATTCTTAAATATTGTGATGTCTTCTACCAGAGATTGAACCTTTGTCCCCTACAATGGAAACTGGAAGTCTTAACCACTGGACCATCAGGGAAGTCCCAAAGTCAATCCCAAAGCCTTAAATGCATTCACTGACAAAAAAAAAAAAAAAATGACCATAATGAAGCAATGTATTACTCATTTTTAGACTCTAAAAAACAAAAACAAAATTGAAAAGAGGAATTAAGATAAAAAGAGAATTTAATGAACTAGAAAGAAAATGATATAGTAGGTAAGGATGAATAAAAGAAGATAAATGAAAGAAATTAACCTCTCACAAAGCAGGCCAAAGATAAAATTGAAAGAAAGAAACACAGGAAATATGATATAAGATACAAAAGACATTAAAATTATAAAATATAATAAATCAATGCTGTATGAAACTTAATGCCCGCCTCCAATTTTTTTTTTTTAAGAACATAACTGACTACCCCAGAGGACATGGATGACTTTCTAGCAAATTAAAAATCATCAAAAGGAATCTCCTTGACGTAGAAAATATGATGATATCAACTTATTTAACAGAGATTGGAAAGGAAATTTAAGATCCAATATTTAAAAGATCATACGACTAGACAATTTCACAAGTGAGCTCTAAAGAACCTTCAAAGAGAACATACTCTTTTAATAGTAGACTTAGTAAGTGAGCAATGACTGCTGCCTGTCTTTACACAGTCACCTATGAATGGTCTACATTTTCTAATGGTTGAAAAAAACAAAGGAAAGACTACTTCATGAAATTTGAAAATTGTATGAATTTCAAATTTCAATATCCATAAACAAAGAAAAATTAATGCATAAATTTATCAAATGAATATATGTGGCAATTCTAGGTAAGTTCTAAAATAAAATATAAGTAGAAACCAGTAAGATTTAAGCAGAATAATAAACTAGGCCAAACTGGGTTTAGTCTATGAATATAAGGATTCTTAAATATTATGATGTCTATTAACTTATTTATCAATGAAGTAAAAGACACTAAAATATGATTTTTATCTCCCTTTAAAATTTAGCAAATCATATCTGCTTTATTAAAGTCAGATAAAATGATATAGCAGAATATTATTTAAGTATATAAACTATTTTAATTGTCTACCGGATGCAAGAAGGCATAAAAAGAGAATTTAATGAACTAGAAAGAAAATATTTCTTCAGTGAAAGAGGAGTGAAAATTCACAATAAGAAGTCATACTGAGATGAACAGCCAGAATAGATGAAATGACAGCAAGCTGAGATAAATGTGATTGGGCATAATAATGAAAAACACAAGAAAACTAAAATTTCAACCTTTCATGGTTCACAGCCTTGTGGTGGTGAAGGGGCTTCTGTAACTCAATGAAGCTATGAGCCACGCCCCATGCAGGAACACCCAAAAGCGATGGATCAAAGTGGAGAGTTCTGACAAAACGTGGTCTACTGGAGGAGGAAATGGCAACCCACTTCAGTATTCTGTCCATAGGACAATCCTACGGACAGAGGAGCCTGGCAGGCCATACAGTACATGGCGTTGAAAAAAGTCAAACAGGACTGAGCAACTAAACAACAACAAGAAAGCAACATCTAATACTGCTCACCGTACAAAACCCAGAGAGTTTACCAGGGTGGGACTGGGCCTCTAGCTTGTAAATAACACAGCAAGTGGCTGAAAGTGATGCTACTGGTTTGGGTCTTGCATTTGTGTTTTTCAGTTATTAAGAATGACCACCATAGACAGTGTTTCTGTACATGCTTACCTTGCGTTGTATGGATCCCATTCTCACCGATTTCACATCCACAGACTGGTAAGTTAGCCACAAGCCTGTACTGATGTGCTGTATATAACACACTGAGTCTCCATATTTTATTTCAGAGGTTCCCATGCCATCGACTTCTTTTCTCACTCCTACATCCAATTTTTCCTGGGAGAGGGGGTAAAAAAGACAAGCAAAGGCTTTAAAAAATACTGGTCTAATATCAAAGGAACTTTGCCTTGTTGTAAATCATGTTCCTTGAAAAATGTAGCCCTCTGAAATAATAATGGTCAAATGTTCTATTGTAGCAGTTCAACCTCTACTGGAAACTGAGTAGGAGATTGCAAAGATAAATTACATACTCCTGAATTATTCATACGGGCAGAAAATTATTTTGGCCATAACACAAAATTTTATATTGCTTCATGGCAAACTCCAAACTAGAGACCTTAAAATCAGTAATTTAGGTTTCATATTCTTTCCAGATTATTATTTTTATGATTAATGACTAAGAGTATAGGTTGGGGGACAGAAAATCCAATTTTGAGCCTAATCTCTGCCACTGAGTACCTCTGAGACCTTAGGATAAGTTAATTAAACCTTTTAAGCCTCTGTTTTCTCATCTGTAAATAAAGCTAACAAGAGAACCTCCCCCACAGTATCAGAAAAAATGAGATAATGAATGCAACACTTTCAGCACAGTACCTGGGATAAAATTAACACTTTAATAAACTTTCATGATTTTGACCATGAAGCTGTTATTTATAATGCTGATGATGAATTTTGTTTTAATGAGGATGTTAGGAATAATGATGATTTCTTTCAAACCCTAATCAAGGGTATAATTCAGTTTCAATATAGTTTTTGGACTACAGAGTTCCCTATGCTAGGAAGAAACAATCAATCCTCTGATACCAACTAAATATTCCCTTTCAATCCTGATTTGTTTTAATGCTTCTTCCTTCAATTTTCCCTTCCATGTTCCATTCTGGTCTTCAAAAACTCATTATGTCTTGAAGTTCTGTATAATTCTTAAAATAGCAAGAAAAAAATCTAATGCTCTTTTGGTTACAATGTCTTCTTTTGTGTTTTCTTATTGTCCTTGTTCTAATTTTCTTGTTAAATTTACTTTAAGTTTTGTCTATCTCTTTGGCTGTTTGAGCATTGTTTGAAATCAGTACTAGTTATATAAATGTTTCTGAAAATTAGGTTGGAGTCAATTTTATGTCTGTTAAACCACCAAAAGGAACAATTCAAGTAAAACAGAAATTTTGATTTCTTATAGTATTATTACACCACACTAATAATTAGCAACTCCAAAATAATTATGGACACTCAGTCAACAATTGAAAATTAAAACTTAAATGAGTTTTGATTCTTAATGCAAAAAGGGTCAAGGTCATATAAGAAAGTGAACACAATTAGAAGTTAAGTTGATTTAACCATTATGCAAATAACCTGAATCTGCAATAAAACAGATAATAAACCACTCCAATTTCATTCTATCAAACCAGATAAACTACAAATCTACTTAAACCAACCCTCTAAATAGAAAAAATAAATTCTAGGAAAAATACATAACAATGCAATTATCTCCTCAAAATAAAACAAGGAGCTTCTAACATGATTTTTGTTTTTCCTTTATGCCAGGAAATTGGCTTGTAGTCTATTTATAGGCTTGTGGATAGTGCTTTGAAAATTGTAGCTACTAAATACAAAGGTATGGTGTGCTTGCTTTTTACTGAAGTGCTTCACATCACTCTCTGGGTTAGAACTTTTAATTCCAAAACTTCATGATGATCATGTTCTTGTAATTATTCAGATCCTCAAGTCAAGTAAGAACTGCTAAGTGACATTAGAGGGGGGGAAAAAAAACCACCAGATTATTTGCTTTTTAAAAGAACAAAAGCCAGTCAGTCCTCTCCTTCTTTTATTTCCTATCATTTTCTGTAGCTCAAGTTTAGGAAACATTCAGGTGAAAATAATCTAGATGATCTGACCAATCACCATGGTAAGAACATGACAGCTGGTAAAAGCATCTAACAGAAAACTAGTCTGTCTTACCAGAAATAAAGTATCCAAGTTAGCTGAGACGTCAGATTCCTAAAACCCTGTATTAACTAACCTATATCTAAATTAGTGACATTAAATTTTAGCATTACCTTGATATATTTTATAAATCATCTATATTTAGTTTTCTTTTTAGTTATTCTGGCCTTGGGAAATGATTGTAGTTTAGTTAGGCTAATCATCCCATAGACAACCAGTTAGAAAATTGGAAAAAAATAATTTTTAGACTCTGTTGTTAGGCATTTCAGAGACCAAAAGCAGAAAGTGAACAGCAGACTTCTCTATAAAGACAGAGAGTACTCAAGTGATTTGTAAGATGTAGCCTTTGTCTAGGGGCATGCCCTGTCCAATCTGCTTGGAGCTCAAGTAGAAGAAAGGTTCTTTTTTTAATTTTTTTTTTCATTTATTTTTAATAGTTGGAGGCTAATTACTTTACAATATTGTGGTGGTTTTTGCCATACATTGACATGAATCAGCCATGGATTTACATGTATTCCCCATCCCGATCCCCACTCCTGCCTTCCTCCCCATCCCATCACTCTGGGTCTTCCCAGTGCACCAGCCCTGAGCACTTGTCTCATGCATCCAACCTGGGCTGGTGATCTGTTTCACCCTTGATAGTATACTTGTTTCAATGCT